GGGGGGGGGGGGGATGGGTGGGTGGTAGTGTAGGTTCTACACAGTGCAGAGGGTAAATACAAGAACACTAATACTGAAACGTATACAAAGGGTGTGTCCGTGTAATGTTGCCTTTTACAAGTGTGTCTCTCTTTCCCGTCCTCAGATCATTCGCTGTTCTTGTTTTGGTTCTTTGACCCTTGAATGCCTTGCAGAAACCCTCTGCACCTGGATATGAAGAGCAGGCCTGTGATAAAGACAAAAAGAGACAAGGCCTGGATCTGGAAAAGAATACCCTAAATCTAGTGAAGATCCACTATGGTCCAACTGAGAACCCTAAGTGGACACGTGGCACATGGAGGATTGTAAATGTGTGAGACGGACAAGTGGTGCCATCCACCAAACTATCATTTTTGTTTAATGATTGGTACAAATCTGTCAAAATCCACAAAGGACCCTTTGTTTTTTTTCTTTTGGCGTTTCTTCTGTCTCTATCCGTTTTGGAATTTTGTGGAAACTAGGGAATACCTTTTTTTGTGTGTGTGTGTAGGGATGTGTGTATATGCATATTCTGTATATCTTTATAATATATAAATATAACATCGACTCGTTATCAATGTTAGATACTTAACTCTGAATATTTTTTTTGTGTGTGGACTACTAAGGTAACTTGAATTTATATTTTCCCTATCCCGATTAGCATTCTCACTGGGTTTTTCATGCTAGATTTGATATATTGCATATAAACTATATTTTAATTGGAATAATGGTGTAACCATGATTTGATTCATTTGTAAAACCCAGTTCGTTTGCAGTGGAATGTAATAAGATGATGTTTCCGGTTTAGGGAATAAAATAAGAGAGGGGGAGAGAGAGACAAGGGCAGGTGGCTCTCAACTCTCAAGAGCCTGTCAGACTTTAATTCTGACAAAAACCCTTAGGACTCATTAATCATACAGATGCTTCTCATTTATTAGATTAATCCGATGAAGCTCGACCTTACATGTTTTTTTTTTTAGGAATCTTCCATTTCCTAGCACGAAGACTGTGGATTAGGGTTTACATTTTAATTTTCTGTACCCCATTAAACACCAAGACTCTGAGACCAAGCGACAAAACCCTAGAGCCTCCTCCTCTCTCCCATTTGCATCCCACACAAAATCCGTACATTTTCATCCGCCGACTATTATGTCGGGATATTCTCTTTCGTTTTTAAATTTTTCACATTTTTTTTAAAAATATAAAATAAATCTTATAATGTTATAAATAAAATATATTTATGGTGGAGCCCACCGTTACTGTTCACACCGACTTACTGTTCATATATACGGTACTGTTCACACCGACCGTATACGTGAACAGTAACTTCGGGATTTCTATAAATAGGTCATTTGGGTTCTTTCATTTGTACACTTTCAAGAGAGAAATCAATAAGAAATACATCTTTCTCCATTCTCCCAAAATACTCTTTTCGGTTATAGTTAAACGATCTAATATCCGGGTCGTTTATATCTCTCCGAATTCATAACACGTTATCAGCACGAGCGCTCTTCTATAACTAAAGGTAAGATAACTTATCTTTAATACAAATATTTTCAATCTTATGATATATATATATGTATTCATTGATGCTTGAGTGGAATTACCCCAAGCTATATATGAATACCGATATTCTTTATAATTAATTTATGGACGGCTATGCCGCCTCGATTATTATTCATGGACGGCTATGCCGCCTTTATTATTACTATTTATGGACGGCTCTGCCGCCTTAATTGTTAATCTGGACGGCTATGCCGCCTTAAATATTTATTCGTTATTGGACGGCTGTGCCGCCTTAATTATTAATTTGGACTGCTTTACCGCTTTAATTATTTGTCTGTTATTGGACGGCTATGCCGCCTTAATTGTTAATATTGGACGGCTATGCCGCCGTACTTACTAATAGACTATTGTGTTTATTCTTTATGGACGGCAATGCCGTCTAAATTATTTTACTTCTGCATATGGTAATACCGCCACATATAAACAATTATATTATCTAATCTATATAAATTATAAATATTCACCATGCAAAATATTATCATATATATAATATTGATGGTCATTTATACGGAAAATGTTTTGAACAAAAAAAAATGTGTTAGTAATAAAGTTTACGATTAAAGTTTTATAAATTTTTTTTATATATCGTTATATTAATTATAAATTATTTATTTCCTCAATAATTAGTTAATTATATATTAGCATTATCAATTAATTTTACAAAATAGTTTAACAATTCGTTTTGATAAATTATTTCATGATATAAATTGTTAAAATCATCTATAAAATTTAAATAAAAAAAAAAAAAAAAACTCCAACGGCTATAATTAAAAAAAAAGAAAAAAAAATAAAAAAAATCAAATTTTGGCTCCTCCCCAACGGCTAGGAATAGTGAATTTTACCCTATAAATACACTCACCCATTCACTCAAAAACTCACACCAAATCATCCCATTCTCTTCTCTTCTCCCACGAAAAAAAATTCTCAAGATGAATTTCATCAAAATTCTCTTTGTTTTAGCAATTTTAGCGGCAACTTTTTGTATTTTCTTTGATAAAAATCCCGATCCGTTTTTGTTTTCAATTTGCATTGCGGTCTTACCTCTCGTTTACATATTACTAATTATAGCAATTTATATGTAATCATGTATTTCACTATGTTGTATTATCCATGATAATGAATAAAGCTAATGTGTGCCGTATTTTTTTTGTTTTAGTCATAATGGCAAGAATGGCAAATATCGAATTCGAGGTCCTCGACATATCGGGAAACAATTATTTATCATGGCAGTTAGATGCCGAATTGCATCTCGAATCAAAAGGTCTTGGTACCACTATTAAAGAAAAGGGTGCATCAAACGAGAATAAGGCGAAGGCACTGATATTGTTGCGACATCATCTTCATGATGATTTGAAAAAGGAATATTTGACAATCAAAGATCCTGCAGATCTTTGGTTAAAATTAAAAGACCGTTTTGATCATCAAAAAACGGTGATCCTCCCCAAGGCAAAATATGAATGGATGCACCTCCGGTTTCAAGATTTCAAGAATGTCAGCGAATATAACTCGGCAATGTACCGTATCACATCGATTCTAAAATTATGTGGAGAAACAGTCAGCGAAAATGAGATGCTGGAGAAAACTTTCTCAACAATGCATGCATCGAACATTATACTCCAACAACAATATCGAGAAAAGGGGTATACAAAATATTCGGAGCTTTTATCATGTCTCCTATTGGCAGAACAAAATAATGAGCTGTTAATGAAAAACCATGCATCACGACCAACTGGATCTGTACCATTCCCTGAAGCGAATGCTACAGAAAACTAACCATTCCCTGAAGCGAATGCTACAGAAAAAATATCATTCCCCGGAGTGAATGCTATGTCTTATAATGGTCGAGGACGTGGTTATTTTCGAGGTAGAGGCCGAGGAGATGGGCAAAAACATCAGCGAGGTCCATGTGTGCAAAGTCTTTAGCACCACTAGCATCATCATCATAGTCACTCATGACATGATTGGTCTCGATGTCTTTTCCTTTTGTTTCTTTAATCGACTTTTGGTAAAGCTCCACCAGGTGTTTAGCAGTGCGACAAGTACGCGACCGTCGGATATCTTTAAAACTCAATAAATTTCTTTGTGACCTTGAGGAAAATAATGCATCTTTTACCGTAAATTTTGTTCCTCCTGGCATAATGAAATCGGCTCTTCCAGAGCCTTCGATTATTTTTGCATTTCCAGATATAGTAGTAACATTTCCTTTGTTTATTCTCAGATTCGAGAAATATTTTCTTTCTTTCAGAATTGTATGTGTTGTAGCACTATCTGCCAAACATATATCTCCTCCTCGGTCCGCAGTTTTGGCCATATTCGTTTTCTATTCAAGAACAAAGCAACATTATAAAAAAAGATAGATTAATAACAGATAATATCAATACTAACTTATAAAGCAGAAATAGTCATACAAGACACAACAACATATCATATTTATACATGAAAATGCATATGCAAATAATATTGATTATATGAAGTAAACAAGTATTTATATAGTTTATTCATAACCAGCACCATCTTCAGGATGGGCAAAAACATCAGCGAGGTCCATGTGTGCAAAGTCTTTAGCACCACTAGCATCATCATCATAGTCACTCATGACATGATTGGTCTCGATGTCTTTTCCTTTTGTTTCTTTAATCGACTTTTGGTAAAGCTCCACCAGGTGTTTAGCAGTGCGACAAGTACGCGACCAATGTCCCGTCATTCCACACCGGTGACATGTACTTTCTTTCATCCTCTTGTTCGGATGACCATGTGCTCCCCCTTTATTATTGTTAAAATTATGATTTTGGGATGAATTTCCTTGATCACCTCCTCTGATCCATCTTCGGCTGGCACCACGACCGCGTCCTCGGCCTCGGCCTCGGCCTCTACCTCGAAAATAACCACGTCCTCGACCATTATAAGACATAGCATTCACTCCGGGGAATGATATTTTTTCTGTAGCATTCGCTTCAGGGAATGGTTTGTTTTCTGTAGCATTCGCTTCAGGGAATGGTACAGATCCAGTCGATCGTGATTCGTAGTTTTTCATTAACAACTCATTATTATGTTCGGCCAATTGGAGACACGATAAAAGCTCTGAATATTTTGTATACACATTTTCTCGATATTGTTGTTGGAGTATAATGTTCAAATTTATTGAGTTTTAAAGATATCCGACAAAATGGATATCATATTGAAACTATGAATGAGGATGATACTGAATATTTATATATCACCTCAATTAATTCGGGACAAAAGTATGTGTTGGAAAAATTACCCACTCTATCCTCGGGATTATATTATACTAATATCAATGTGATTGAATCACATGTTATAGTAAACCAGAAGTTTACTGATACATTCAAAGTTTGGCATGATCGATTGGGTCACCCTGGTGCTATCATGATGAGAAAAATTATCGAAAATTCTCATGGTCACCCATTGAAAAACCAGAAGATTTTTCAATCGGATGAGTTTTCTTGTGATGCATGTTCCAAAGGAAAGTTAATAATTAGACCATCACAAGTTAAAATCGGGTATGAATTACCATCATTTTTAGAAAGAATTCATGGTGATATCTGTGGACCCATTCATCCACCATGCGGACCATTTCGATATTTTATGGTATTAATTGATGCTTCAAGCAGATGGTCGCATGTATGTCTTTTATCATCACGAAATCTGGCATTCGCCCGATTATTAGCTCAAATAATTAAACTAAGGGCACAATTCCCAGAGTATCCGATCAAGAAAGTGAGACTTGATAATGCTGGAGAATTTACATCACAAGCTTTTGATGATTACTGTGTAGCAATGGGTATTGATGTTGAACACCCAGTTGCACATGTACATACACAGAATGGGTTGGCAGAGTCATTAATCAAACGACTTCAGTTGATTGCCAGACCATTGATAATGAAAACAAAATTACCCATTTCTGTGTGGGGACATGC